AAAAGCAGTGCCTGGCACTTAAGAGGGCATAAGGCATGTTTGTTGAATGAGTGAATATACCTTCCTGAGGACACACGGACAGACAGACACATGCATGCAAGCATGCACACATACTCAGAGCAATTTACACCAATAGGATCATGCTACCTTTAAAAACAAAATTAATGATATGTCTTTGAGATTTTCAGAACAACAGACATACATCTACATAGTTTTTTTTTTTTTTATGGCTTAAAGATCTTCAAGATATAAAATTTAGCTAAAGAAAAAAGCTAAGAGGAGAATGTAATACTACTTTGTGCATGTACTGTGATTCATTTATCTAGTCCCCTATTGATGGATATCTTGCTTTTGATTCCAGGAGTTTGCTATTTCAAAAATGCAGCAATGAATATATTCATTGTATCTTGGAACACTTCTGTTTCTCTCCCACTTTAAAAATTTTAATATTTCAGGTGGGTACATATTTGAACAAAATTTTATCAGAATCACCATATTATGTGACTGTTATTGCTGATAGGAGAGAGAGAATATTTTTCATCATTATGTTTTAATTTTTTTTTTTTTTTTTTTGAGAAAGAGAGAGAGCAAGTGCAAGCATGGGAGGGCCAGAGAGGGAGGGAGACAGAATCCAAAGCAGGCTTCAGGCCCAAGCTGTCAGCACAGAGTCCAATGTGGGTCTCGAACTTACGTTCTGTGAGATCATGACCTGAGTTGAAGTCGGACACCTAACTGACTGAGCCACCCAGGAGCCCCAGGGGGAGATATTATTAATTACAATTAATACCTGAGGATTTTCAAAGATCAACAGGATGATTCTTAGAGAGAAAACATTGTTCTTTTTACTTTAGCTCCAGACTTACTGTAAATGATGTTATTATATGTGAAATGCCAATTTTTAAATGAATTTCCTAGAAAAGAAAGAAGTATTTCCCTTATTACTCTGACTTTTGAAATAAAAGCAAGAATTGGTTCATTTCTCAAGTGTAAAATTCAGCAGAAGCCATGCCTGCTGACCCATAAGAATTTTCAAAAGGCTGGCTAATGCATTATTGATTGTACTCTTTCTAATTAGTTCTAGGAAGTGGGCAGTCCTTGGGGTGGGGTGGAGGGTACGGGGCCTGGAGCAGTATTGTGCGTCCCCTTCTCTGCTCCATGGTCTTGTTAATCTAGTGCTATGGAGTCATGAGGAGCACAGACAGCTTGGGTGGTGAAAGTTTCTAGAAGGGCTAGCCTGAGGCTGGTGTGAGGCAGTAGGGAGAGGGAAGGCCTCCCGCTGAGCTCCATGGCCTAGCAGAAGATGACCTACACCGCATGTTCCCGTGGAAGACTCAGGTCTGATTAGCCCTCAGAACCAGCCCCTGCCTTACTCCATGGCTGCTTCCTGCTTCACAATTCATTTTTCAGCAAGAGCTGAGGACAAGGGGAGACGTAGGTGGTCCAGGGCTGTTTATTGGATCCTCATATCCTACATTAGTGTTTCTCAGAGGGTGACCTTTGTACCTGTGTGTACCTCTGGGCATACTCCAGTTTACCAGTTTACCGGTGGTTCTTTTAAAGGCATTGCTGTAAGCCTAAGCAGGGTCTCCCACATGCTGCTCCCAACCCCAGTCTATATCTTGTCACAGTACGACCCTCTGGGCAGCCAAAAATTATGGCAGTGAGCAGTAATGGCCAGCTCCCTAAGACCTGGCAGGGCCTGCCCTTTCTTGGCAGCAATTTCATGCCTATTTACGCGTCCAGCACCAAGAAGAAAGCCAAGAGAGAATCTGTGTGCGCTTTACGCGCTTTAAATGCACAGTGAATTCTCATACTTTTAAGTGTGGCCAAATGAATATTTTGAGCCGTATCAATCTGGTTAGCAATTCCTCTTTCCTTGGAGAGAAGAAAGGGTTTGGCATAAGGTGGGTAGAGTGGCAGATGTGTTTTCTTTTCTATATCTGGATTAAGTTTGAAAGGAGAGGTTTTCCAAGTAGAAAAGCTAGAATTCAGTTTAAGCAACAGAAGTCTGAAGACAGGGGCTATTTTGAACCCACCTTGGTCTGTGGTCCCCTCCCTTTTGTCTTTCTGTACTGTTTTTATGTGATTTTGATTTTTTTAAAAAACTAAACCTTGGGAAGGCCACATATATATCTCAGTAACATACCTGTGACATGATGTCAGGAGTATTTTTATCCTCCTGGAGCCTTTTTCCAGTGCTAATGGCTGACTCCATGGATGCCAGAATACCTCAGAAAGACGATGAGGTCACTGAGACTTCCCATTCCCTAAGCAGGACAATATCTCAGAACTGCAGATGGCAACCATTGTGTGAGATGCCCCCATCCCCATCCCACCTTTTCATATCCTAGTGTTTACCGTGGGAGGTTCTAATGGTAAGTAGTGTGGCATTGAACTTTAAGAGATAATAGAATGTGGGAAGGTGACCAGTTCTTGACCAATATATGAACCTTTACAAGCACGTGTGCCTTTGAGCTGGTATTGAGCATTTCATTACATATTCATGCCAATAGGTCGAACTGCATAATACTTCCAAAGGTTCTACCTGCCAGGGTCTATCTATGTTCATGTTGTATTCTAGAAGACTCTGGAAGGACTTGACACTTAGGAAGAAAGGGCTGGTTCTGCTATTAGTGACTGTAGGTGTTTGTTCATTTTCTATCGGGAAAATTGCTATTCTTTCACCAAGATGTTTATAATTTTTTAAAAACAGCACTTACTAAATGATGAGGTAGTGTTTTCCCTTTCAAATAGGAAGAATGAGTATAATATTTTTTCTAAAGAACCTATTATTAATGTTCATGATCTGTAGGTCACCAATTACTTTGCTTGCTGCTGATGGGGCAGTGGCAGGACCTGAAGGTCCAGGATGTTACTCCCATAATTATAGTATATTACTTCTAATAATAACTGAAAAATTATTTTTAAATATAATTTTATAAATAGTTGAATCATAATTAAAGCTCAGTAGTGAACATTTTGTTTCATGTAGGTTTCCATTTTTAGTATACCACATGTTCTTTTTTTTTTAAGCTAGGCACATTTTACTTTCTATTTTGTAAATTCCACCTTGGATGTGGGTAGTCACACCTCTATTATCCTAGAAGGGAAGGAGTAAAGAGGTGAAGATTACAGGAAACAGGAGTAGATTGAGTATGTAACCCTCTTTGTAAGTAACAAGGGTAGTCTAGAGAATATACTCCAAGGGTGGACCTACTGTTCCATGTAAGTGTTAGTTTCCTGAATGTTCTTGTAGATATCCCATCAGAAATAATATAGTGAGCAGAGATGAGCATAGTTTGTAATGAACAAATGTCTTCTCCGCTAGAGTAAAATTTAACATCAAGGACATATTTTTATGCTTAATTTTTGGTTGTATGGTCTATTTTAAAGCTCCAAAATGATTCTATAGTGATTTTCACTAAAAGACTTAAATAATAAGCTGTGTATCTCTTGAAGGTTAGAGTCAAAGATTATGACAGGCCCTGGGAAATCATAGCGGATAGTGGTAACATGATCTCAATTTACGTCACAGAATTCTCATACTTTGACCAAAAGCGTAATGGAAAGAGAGAGTAGGTATTGTAAAACTGTAAGGAGCCAACGATGATGGGAAAGATTACTTTAAGAGTGGACATTTCATTCTATTATCCTGAAAATTAAGACTTCAGTGATGACAAAGCTTAATACACTTTAGCATGGCACAGATAATTGCGTATGCATGGGATATCCTTTAATACGTAGACCGAATTTTCCTAAGGCCTACCATGTCCAATTTCATGATGTCATGAAAAGATAGCCATAAAAAAATAATAAGGAGATAGGCCCATTTGTTATTCCTTCTTAATTTTGTTGCTGTTTCTTTCTGCAAATCCCCTCAAGAAGGGAATGATACCCTAGCATGGTTTGAGATCTCTCAAGGTTTGCATTTCTTTCTTCCATTCCTCTTTTTCCCTTTTGCTTGGCCTTGGAATAACATTATTTATACTCTAGTTGTTTACCCTTTGAATTAATTATCATGACTTATAGAGACACATGTTCTGTTATCTGTTGCACATCATTAAGTGGCATCATTAGAACATTAAATTATATCAGGGTGAAAAACATTGGTGAGTTCCACTCATTAATATACATATCACCCTTGCAAACTCTAGTTATGAACAACCATCTGTGCAAAGATCTTGCTGACAAAGAGAAGAAGCCTATAGATTATAGCCTCTGCACAAACACAACTGAGGAACTCCACAATAATTGTTGGCTCACGATGAGTCCCCACAGCACTCCAACCAATATAGTTTGAGTGAGATTGTGGCCAGAGTGCCACTAGAAAACTATGCTCACACTGACTGGGGAACATATACTGTACCAGTTTCCTACTAAGAGCTTGTCTGTTACAGTATCTCTGTTAGAGAGTTATTGACTCAGCAGAAGTGTTGCTACAGAGAGCTTCAAATCTATACTCCAGGTAGTTGGAAGTAGGTGGGAGGTCAGCACATGGGTAGGCTCTGTGAGCAGCAGAAAAGGATGGAAGCAAGGTTTGTTTGGAGGGTCTTCTTCTGTGTAATGGTCTGCCCCTGGTCGACTGGTTTCACTCTGGTTTGACAGAACCTTAGAATTCGGTCAAAGATCTATATCTGTCATGCAGTAGGGCTTCTTGTTGTCAGGGCTGTGATGTAGGAGATCTTGGTGTCAATCCTGGGTCTGCCACTTACTCTGTGTGAAGTCCAAGCCTCAGTTTACACATTTGTATTACTTCCTAAAGTGTCTGTAAATGTACTCAACTAAGGCTTCTCACTCTTGCTTCCATGATGCAGGTGGAAGTGAAAATGCAAATCATGATGCTTCCATTCTTTTCTTAAAGACTGTATATGAGTGACAGGGAGAGGAGAATGAGTGTATGAATGGAGACGGCCTGAGGGTACCTAGGATTTCCCATATTTCCCAAGGTTCATGATGCTCATTGGCTTTTCAACTCTTGTTTACTTCCTTTTCTTCCAGAGCCTGAGTTGTAAGAGTCAGCAACAATGGACTGGTGAGTAGGCAATACTGAGGTGGTACCCATCTCTCTGCCTATAAGGTATTTGTTTCTGGGTAGATATAGAATTAACTGTAGTCAAAAGGAAGCCAGAGGCTATAAGTCAATCCTGCTCTTTCCTGAAGGCAGAGCAAAGATTCTTGGTTATCAGACTGAAGCTTATAGAAAATTTACTAAACACGGTTTTATAGGTTTAATTGTGTTCCCACCCCTAAATTCATATGCTGCAGTCCTACCCCCCAGGAACTCAGAATGTAAATTATTTGGAAACAGGGTGATTGCAGATGGAATTAGTCAAGATGAGGTCACACTAGAATAGGGTGGGCCTTTAATCCAATACAACCAGTGCCCTTATAAAAAGGGGAAGTTTGGAGGCAGACACACACACACAGGGAGAACACCACGTAAAAATGAAAGCAGCGATCAGGTTCTTGATCCTAGGAGTCAAGGATCACCAAAGACTTCCAGCAAATCACCAGAAGCTGGGAGAAAAGCATGGAACACATCCTATAGCACAGTCCCCAGAAGGAACCAAGCTTGCCAACATCTTGACCTTGGACTTCTAGATTCTAGACCCATGATACAATGAATTTCTTTTAAGCCATCCAGTTTGTGGCTCTAGCAAACTAATACATGTGGGGAAAATTAATCTCCATTTCTCTTAAAGCTGGGAATAGGGTGAAGCAAATGAGGCACTTGCCTCAGCACATTTAAAGGGCACCAAAATAAATAAATAAATAAGTGAATAAAGTCCTCTTAGTAATCAAGATAAATAGCACCTGAACGCAATGTTTTAAAAAATTGAAAGTCATGCAAAAAATCAATGCCAAAAAAATATCAGAAGTTTAAGTAGCAACAGGATCAGTAACAGCTTCATGCTAAGCATATTGGAACACGGTTCAAAAGAAATGAAAAAATTAGTAATACTGTGTTTGTAGTGTTCTTAAAGGACACTAGGCTTATATCTAGCTTTTACTGCTATACAAAGCATCACAATCAACACCTTAATACACATACACTTGTCTAATGACATCCTCAGGCTAAATGATTAGAAGTAGAATTATTGGACCAAAAAAGTACAGATTTTATGATTTGATGCTCATCGTTAAGCTGACAAAATGTTGCTTTCACCATTGATCTGTGGATACCTTTTACTCCTGGATATAATTTGGTGTTTTTAATATTTCACTCATTTTGTGAATTGCCTGTTCATGTCATTTACATATTCTTTTGCATTATTCATCTCTAAGTGTTTTATTTAAAGAGCTCTTATCTTAAGGATACTATCTGGATAGTAACTCCTAGTTAATGTTATAGATATCACTAAAGGTTTCTCCAGTTTATCAGTTGTCTTTTAACTTAATATATGTTGCATTTTACCCAACCAGAAACCTGAGTGTAGATGGAAAATAAGATGGTAGGTCGTTTTTATATGGTTACAGACTCATAAATATTAAGGGCAGACACCTGACGTCAACAACAGGCCAGAACAGTGAGGAGCTTTTCCCTGTATCTGTTCACTGCTGAATAACTGATACACGTGTACGTAGTACATACATACTGACTGATTGGCATGGACTAATGACTTCTACTTTTTACCTAAACCAATTGGTGTTAAGTTTTTGTAACTTACAGTCAGAAAGAGTCTTGATTAGTCGGGCCACATAATTTGGGGAAGATATTTTTTTTTTTTCCTGCTAAACACAAGGAGAGATTTCCAAGGAACCTGAAGAACTGAAGAAGCAGGGGTCTCCATTTTCCTGATGTTGGAGGGCAAAGGCTCAGGTGGTTTTCTAGATGGACTAATTATAAATGAGAAAATAAACCAGGTTTTGGACATCAGAATCATGGAGGCTGTTAGCATTTACACATATCTGAAGCTCTAAGTGTAAAGGTTGGATTGGAACTGAGGGTCAAAATTTTTTGTTTACCCTCATGGAGGTCTGCCTCCAGGGAGAGAATGTGCTGATCCATTGACTTTAGGCATTCTGGTTTATGGCAATGATTTTTTATCGTATAATATCATGGTGGCATTTGGTTGGTTAATAGGAATCTTCCCTTGGGACGTGACACAGTACCAGGGACTTGGCTATTGTTACTTCACTCCAAATTTAACCTTCTCTGTTCTCCTCTGCGATGATGTGGCAAACTACATTTGCAAACTACATTTCCCAGAATTCTTTGCCTATTAGGCTCAAGTAGAAGGCCCTACAAAGAAATTGGGAGTTAGGAGGAGGAGATTTGGTGCCTGTTTGCTTGCTATTCCTGTTAGTAAGGCCTCTACATCGGCATTTTGTTCCAGTCTCCAGCTTCTTTTAGTACTTTGCTTATTTGTCTTCTCAGAGGTACTTGGAACAGCCACGACTCCCTCCTCTGAGCTTCTAGGCTTTGATAATCTAAACTTTGTATTCCCTTGGCCTAAGGGGTAGTGGCTGCACTTAGGATCTCTGCATTACCTCAGTGTTTCTATTTTGCTCTTTGGGCCCCCAAACATTTATGTAACCAATTCCTTATATTTAATTCCCTTCCTGGCTAGACCCTAATATGTAATAACAGGAATGGTCTCAGGAAATATATCCTAAAAGATAGAATCCTGGAATTGGTTCAATTATGCCTTTGGCCTTAGGTATACTGCTTAACTCCTTGGCAGTAAAGAATGAGTTACTAATAATCCATGGCATGCTTTGATATCATGATTAAATAAATGATCTCTTGTGATGTGTTTGTTGAAGCAAATGCCTTAGAGACCAAGTGGCTATCATACTTTTTTTTTTTTTTTTTGGCAGTAATGAAAATTGCAAAAACTAGAAGGTAGAATAACTACTTCTGATTGCACTCATGGGTTTACTGAGAAAAAAATAGTAAATTTAGGTCTTTACAATTTCAACTCAAGACACTGTTGGATAATCAGAGTTTCTGTAGCAGTCCTAAAAGAATCTCTTATACTCTGTAGCCACTGAGCTGACTTTGCTGAAGATTAATCCATAATTTAATTGGGTAAATTGCAGAATTACAATACCAGTTGCATTTATAACCTATCAACTTCTTGCTTGAAAGTTAGGACATTGACTGGGAAGGAGTGGGACCTGGAATGGGGTTATCTGTGAGACTCTGAGGACACCGGCTTTTCTCACTCAAAGGTCCTACGGTAACCTCACTGATAGCAGCCTCTTAAAAAAGGCATGCCTCTGGTGGCTCAGTTGGTTGTGTCCAACTCTTGATTTCAGCTCAAGCCATGATCTTGGTGGGTGACTTCCAGTCCTGTGTTGGTCTTTGTGCTGACACTGTAGAGATTTCTTGGGATTCTGTCTCTCCCTCTCTTGGCCCCTCCCCTCCCTCTCAAAATAAATAAATAAACTTTAAAAAAAAAGCGATGCCTCACCTTGTCAAGACCTATCAACACTATCTCTCATGGACTCTATAACTTGAGTCAGAACAAGTACAAGGTGTGAGTCAGGAGCGTATGGCTATGCTCAAAATAATTAAAAATTTTTGTTATTACATATTGGCAGAAACCTGGTGAATTTATGTGGGAATGAGTTTTCTGGTTGTTAGACTAAGAAATGGAATATAACGTTGGATTAGGCTAAATTTATTGGTATGGGTTCCCAGAGCTTCTGGATTTAATGGATTAGCTCAAACGGCTGAAAGTGGTTGTAAGTTTGCTTGGTTGATTGATAGTCAATCCAAGGAGTCCTTGGTTGTCTACATTCAACGAGGTTGAGATGTCAAAGTTTCTGGGATAATGCGGAGGAAGAAATTCAAAGGTTTGGAGAGGTGCAAACTTTGGAGTGGATTATTCATCTGTCAGCTTCTCACTGCTCCACCCTCTTCACTATCATACTAGAGAGGGCCCAGCAATTACCCCATTCACTAAGGCATTGAGACATACATTAGTGAGAGGAGCTCCAGCATCTATAAAAAAAAGTGCATAACCATGGTAGCTGTTCTCTGGAGGCTAGGGATGATGAAATCAGGGTGATTTGACTTTCTTTGTGCAGGAAGACACTGAGGCCCCTCAAATTTAAGTTTTTTGGGAGCAGAGGTAGAACCAGAGCCGATATCTCTTGACTTCTAGCTTGAGACTCCTTCATTAAACCTCATTAGGTCCAAATCCATCATTCTTGTTCTTGTATATACTTTAAGACTCAAGGTCACTTTGGTTTTACAGGTTTATATTCATGCATATTTATTCTCTTCCTCACATATGACTTATGGATAGAAAATGATGAGATAATCTCATAACGTGCAAAAACACAACTGCAATCCATTAACGTAGCTGCTGCATGCATGTTCACGCTGCTTTCCAGGTACAAAGACTGTGCTGAACAGTTTTAATGGAGACCTTGTGACCTGCAAAGCCTGAAAAGTTTATTATTTGGCCCTCTATGGAAAATGTTTGCCCACCCCTGCTCTAAAAATAAAAGCATTTAAGATAAAGCTTAAATGTTTTGTGATCACTCTTCTTTTTGTCTGTATAAATTTGCTAATATTGTGTTTTCATGTTTGTAGATTTAAATTATCTATGATTTCTCTGGTCACTAGGAAAGATGGGGCAATTTTCCCAGAAGACCAAACAGAATGACGATCCTCTAAAGAAGGTAGGCTACTTGAGCTCCCTTTTCTTAGGTGAATTTAATTTAATTTAATTTAGTTTAATTTAATGGTTTAATTTTAAGTAGGTTTCATGCCCAGTGCGTGGACTAACACGGGGCTCCTACTCATGACCCTGAGATCAAGATCTGGGCTGAGATCAAGAATCGGACACTTAACTGAGTGGTGATACCTCCTGATGATTAAGAGATAACTTTACTTTTACAATTGTTAATATTCCCTCTATTTTTAAAAAAGGCTCTTTCAATATAGCTGTATAGACCAAAAACTTAAAGACAACCATTGTTAATTGTTACTTTGGGTTCTTTACGAGCATTAATTTTATTTTATTTTATTTATTATTTTTTTTTTTAATTTTTTTTTCAACGTTTATTTATTTTTGGGACAGAGAGAGACAGAGCATGAACGGGCGAGGGGCAGAGAGAGAGGGAGACACAGAGTCGGAAACAGGCTCCAGGCTCCGAGCCATCAGCCCAGAGCCCGACGCGGGGCTCGAACTCACAGACCGTGAGATTGTGACCTGGCTGAAGTCGGATGCTTAACCGACTGCGCCACCCAGGCGCCCCTACGAGCATTAATTTTAATTGAAAAATGCTAAAGAAGTACAAAAAATGGATGCATTCATCATTTTCTGATTGTTTCTAGCTTAGCCTCGTATGCAATATTTATATAATATTTAGTCAATAAATAATTAGTTGTCACCTGCCTCTTTTTTTCTTGTGGAACATAAGATTGTATGTTATTTTCCATAAGTCAACAAGCATGCTCATATCCAGGACAGGCCATTATTTCCGAAATTACTGAAGTCATCCTGGAGATGAAGTTGTTTTGAGATGACTGATTTTTTTCATTATCCCACCAGTCTGAGTATTTACTGCTGTGCTCCTTGTCATCGTTCATATTTTAAGAATCTCTCAGGGAAATAGAAACATAAAAAGCCCCTAGGATCCTTCTCCCTTTCAGGGCTGCTGTGACGCCCACCCTTCCTAGCTTCTGTTGAACTCCATCATGGCTTCTTGCTCAGATTTGTCTTCCAGAGAGACTCCATGAGGGAATGCTTCCTGATGGAGGAACAACCGATAGTGTATCAGTCTGAAGACGTACTCAAACACCTTTTCTCAAGTGACTAAACAAATATGCTGATTGAATAATGATTTGATTCTTCCTTCAGCTTTGCTTCCCTTCGCTTCACTTAACACTGTATTAGTGTCCGATTGCTGCTGAAATAAATTACCTCGAATTTAGTGGTTTAAAACAACACAAATTTATTCGCTGACAATTTTTGGAGGTCAGAAGTCCAAATCGGTTCTCACTAGACTGGAAATCAAGGTGACCGCAGGGCTGTGTTCTTTTCTGGAGATCGTAGGGGAGCACCTGTTTTCTTGCTTTTTCCAGTTTCCACTTCGTTCCACATCTATCTTCAAAACCAGCCATGGCCTGTCCAGTCTTTCACACATTGCATTACTCTGACACTGACACTCTGGCCTCCCCCACATTTAAGGTCCCTGTGATTACGTTGAGCCTCCCAGGGACAATCCAGGATAGTCTCCCTGTCAAGATCCTGAATTTAACCACAGCTGCAATGTCCCATTGGGCACATGAGACAGCGTGTTCACAGGTTCTGGGGATTAGGACATGGGCATCTTTCTAGTGGGTGCGCTGTTCTGCCTACCACAAACACTTGAACTCAAAAAAGTAGATAATCTCTGAAAAGGAACAGAATCATTGGGAAGATTTTGTTTTTCCATTGCTATTTCTCAGTCATACTAGTTGACTACTTCAGCTGTTGCAGTATAAAATACATTTCAGGGATGAAGTTACTATTCTTGTGTGCCTCTTTTCAGGGCTAACTTGAGGCAAAAATGTTTTAATTTTTATTTAAATTCTAGTTAGTTAACATACAGAGCAATATTGGTTCTGGGAGTCGAATTCAGTGATTCATCGCTTACATACAACACCCAGTGCTCATCAGAACAAGTGCCCTCCTCAATGCCATCACCCATCTAGCCCAATCCCACCATCTGGCACTTACCCACCTGCCTCCATCAACCCTCAGTTTGTTCTCTGTCCTTAAGAGTCTCTCATGGTTTCATTCTCTCTCTCCCTCCCAGCCCCATATGTGTATCTGTCTTGTTTCTTAAATTCCACAGATGAGTGAAATCATATGGTATTTGTTTTTCTCTGACTGACTTATTTCACTTAACATAATCCTTGTCATTGCAAATGGCAAGATTTCTTTCTCTTTGATGTCTGAGTAATACTCCATTGTATATATATACCACATCTTCTTTATCCATTCATCAGTTGATTGGCCTGGGGCAAATTGTGAACCTATAATTGAATTTGTTTGGCTTTTCGATCCACCCCATCCCCACCTCTGCCTTGTCCTATTTCTTCTTCCCCCAAACTTCTGTCTTTTCTTACTCCTGGTCTTAGGCTAATACTGATAAAGTATTTTGTAATAGGAACTAAAAAAAAAAAATGACGTTCCTGAAGATATTCACAGTATCAAAGGTTTTGAAAATCAAAAGACTTCTATATCTTTTTTTTAAATTTAATTTATTTTTTAAATTTACATCCAAGTTAGTTAGCATATAGTGCAACAATGATTTCAGGAGTAGATTCCTTAATGCCCCTTACCCATTTAGCCCATCCCCCCTCCCACAACCCTTCCAGTAACCCTCAGTTTGTTCTCCATATTTATGAGTCTCTTCTGTTTTGTCCCCCTCCCTGTTTTTATATTATTTTTGTTTCCCTTGTGTTAATCTGTTTTGTATCTTAAAGTTCTCATATGAGTGAAGTCATATGATATTTGTCTTTCTCTGACTAATTTCACTTCATATAATACCCTCAAGTTCCATCCAAGTAGTTACAAATGGCAAGATTTCATTCTTTTTGATTGCCGAGTGATACTCCATTGTGTGTGTGTGTGTGTGTGTGTGTGTGTGTGTGTTTATCCATTCATCCATCGATGGACATTTGGGCTCTTTCCATACTTCGGCTATTGTTGATAGTGCTGCTACAAACATGGGGGTGCATATGTCCCTTCAAAACAGCACACCTGTATCCCTTGGGTAAATGCCTAGTAGTGCAATTGCTGGGTTGTAGGGTAGTTCTATCTTTAGTTTTTTGAGGAACCTCCATACTGTTTTGCAGAGTGGCTGCACCAGTTTGCATTCCCACCAGCCGGGCAAAAAAGATCCTCTTTCTCCACATCCTCGCCAACATCTGTTGTTGCCTGAGTTGTTAATGTTAGCCATTCTGACAGGTGTAAGGTGGTATCTCATTGTGATTTTGATTTGTATTTCCCTGATGATGAGTGAGGTTGAGCATTGTTTCATGTGTAGGTTGGCCATCTGGATGTCTTCTTTGGAGAAGTGTATTCCTGTCTTTTGCCCATTTCTTCACTGGATTGTTTTTTGGGTGCTGAGTTTGAGAAGCTCTTTATAGATTTTGGATACTAACCCTTTATCTGATATGTCATCTGCAAACATCTTCTCCCATTCTGTCGGTTGCCTTTTAGTTTTGCTGATTGTTTCCTTTGCTGTGCAGAAGCTTTTTATTTTGAAGAAGTTCCAATAGTTCATCTTGCTTTTGTTCCCCTTGTCTCCAGAGATGTGTTGAGTAAGGAGTTGCTGTGACTAAGGTCAAAGAGGTTTTTGCCTGCTTTCTCCTCAAGGATTTTGATGGCTTCCTTTCTTACATTTAGATCTTTCAGCCATTTTGAGTTTATTTTTGTGTATGGTGTAAGGAAGAGGTCCAGGTTCATTTTTCTACACGTCACTGTCCAGTTTTCCCAGCACCACTTGCTGAAGAGACTGTCTTTATTCCATTGGATATTCTTTTCTGCTTTGTCAAAGATTAGTTGGCCGTATGTTTGTGGGTCCATTTCTGGGTTTTCTATTCTGTTCCATGAACTGAGTGTCTGTTTTTGTGCCAGTACCATAGTGTCTTGATGATTACAGCTTTGTAATACAACTTGAAGTCTGGGATTATGATGCCTCCTGTTTTGGTTTTCTTTTTCAAGATTGCTTTGGTTATTTGGGGTGTTTTCTGGTTCCATACAAAAAAAAAAAAGACTTCTAAATCTTTAAGACGCAGAATAGAGCTATAAGCAGATACTGCTTATATGCACGTAGGCCTGTGTGGTCATTTCAGCACTATGCTGGCATATACCCTGGCCCCAGACATATTTCTAGAGGTGAAATCATAGTGGCTTCTCAGTCCCAACTCCAAACTTTTTCTGGAGAGTCCTTCAGCTCTCAGAACATTGTATCCCTTTGTCAGAGCATGCAGCAACCACTGGGTCCCTTGTATCCCTCGTGTGAGCTGTAGGACACATGAGTGCTGCTTCAGGCTCACTTGGTGTCTTTCCAACACAGCATTATTGCTTCTGCATCATGTGACACTCCAACTATCGCCAGTCTTTCAAGGGTTGCAGATAAGATTACCAGGAGACATACTCCAAGATGGAAATTTGCATGCGGAAGTTTGTGAGGAGGGCTCCCAGAATCTCCACCTGGGTGGGAGTGAGAGGAATGATGAAAGCAGTATTGAAGCATGATGGAATGTGGCAAAGTCTCAGCCAGTCCTGTGGAAAAGCTTTGAAGCTGAAATAAGCCATAAAGTTGTCTTGAGTTAAGGCAAGTGGGTGCTAGGCACCCTATTTTGACCAGTATTGGATCAGTATCAGACCTGTATTGACCAGTCACGGGATGAGAATTGCTCCCTGCCCACCAGACCCCCTGGGGGCCATTCCCTTAGGCAGTGTGGCTCTCTTTATCTGAAAACAGTTCCCTGAGAAATATTTAGCTGTGAGCTGTCAGATATCAATACTGCCATAGTCTAAGAAAATGAGTGTGTTAGTCTTGAAGGAGGGAGAAGCTGGGGGCCACACCACAGCATCCACTATCGGGGGGAAGCATGCCATTAGCCACTCCTGACTCCCAATTGACATTCTTGGGATCCCCCTCTATTCACCTGGATATTTCTACTTCATTCCCCCATTCTGTCTAGGCATTCTGCCCTGAGAGGGAGAGGAAGAGGTGTAGTCATTTGATGTTATTTCTTTATCTCCTGTCATTTTTATTTTCTACACTCTCCCTGGACAGTAAGGTGTGGGCTTTCTTTTGTCCTCCTCCTCCTCTCTGTAGTGGATTTCTCCTATATTATGTTGAAAAGAACGGTGAAGGGTCTGAGATTTTACCCTGCTCTCAAGCTGACAAGTTATAACGCTTGCCACAGTTTCTAAGGCATCTGGCAGAAGACATGAGACTCCCAAGTCAGAGACTGGGGCTTTATTACCCAAGGCATGTGAGGTAGTATGAGCTTCATGTTTGTGCCCACCCTCCAGTTCCCCCAAGTCCCATGGGAGCAATGTTCATGGCTCTATATGGGTGTTATGCACAGAATGGATATATGTCAGAAACTCTAAGCACAGGAAGCCCCAAATATGCTCAAACTTGGAACCAGAGGGAGACATTTTTTTCATTTTACTAGATAACAAACAAACCTACCCTGTTCTCCAGAGGGACACACTAGTCCAGAGTAGTCCAGAGTAGAAGACTGTCAGTGCCTCTGCTTATAAGATGTAAAGAAACATGATTCATGGAGAATTGACTCCCAACACACACATCCTAACCCATAAGCTATAAGCTTTTTTTACAGCTCAGCCTTAAAGGTAGGTGTGTTATTTCTACATTGTGCAAGAAATTATCATCAGAGGCTTCTAGGCTTGACTATTGTTGTAAGAGCTTTGGGATACTAGGAACTAGGGATTTTTAAGGATAAAACATACTGGCTTGACATCTCCCAAATATTGCCCAAGTTATCAACTACTTTTGTATTCTTATACATTTTCTATCGAAAACTTAGGAAGCTCACAACTGTATGATGTTTGCAACACACAGATATTGTCTTGTCTAGGACCATAACAATCTAAAGACTGCATTTACCTGAATTGACCATGTTGAGGACCACACGGTATGTTTTAAGGGTTGGGCCAGAAAGTGAGATATATCACCAGCCATATGTCTTTGGCCCACACTAGTTACACAGTCTGACCTACATGCCAAGGGTGGGGAAATATGATCTTCCTATTGACTCTGTCATATTCTTTAATAAGAATCTGTCAGTCAATAATATTTATTCATGATCAGCTTGGTGCATATCTTTGTATTAAGCACCGTGAAAGTAAGGAGACAGTCAAAAGTTCCCATGCATGGTTGTAGAGAATGGGTTCAGGCAAGAAGTCTTTTTTGACTCATTCTGTTTAAGTAAATCATTTAGTAATAGGTTGAGTTCAATGCTCCACTGCACGTTAGTTTTTTAATTTTATTTATTTATCATAATAAAAATAACTTTATTGTTTTTTCTAATTTGTATCCTACAAGGAAGCAATAAAATTGAAAGTGAAAATCACCTGCAATTCACTACCAAAATCAGACTTAAAAAAAATCTGGGGCACCTGGGTGGCGCAGTCGGTTAAGCGTCCGACTTCAGCCAGGTCACGATCTCGCGGTCCGTGAGTTCGAGCCCCGCGTCGGGCTCTGGGCTGATGGCTCAGAGCCTGGAGCCTGTTTCCGATTCTGTGTCTCCCTCTCTCTCTGCCCCTCTCCCGTTCATGCTCTGTCTCTCTCTGTCCCAAAAATAAACATTGAAAAAAAATTTTTTTAAAAAAAATCTAATTGGCTTTATTTTTTTAATATGTAATTTATTGTCAAATTATTTTCCATACAACACCAAGTGCTCATCGCAACAGGTGCCCTCCTCAATGCCCATTACCCACCCTCCCCTTCCTCCCATCAACCCTCAGTTTATTCTCAGTTTTTAAGAGTCTCTTATGGTTTGGCTCCCTCCCTCTTTTTTTTTTCCTTCCCCTCCCCCATGGTCTTCTATTAAGTTTCTCAGGATCCACATAAGAGTGAAAACATATGGTATCTGTCTTTCTCTGTGTGATTTATTTCACTTAGCATAACACTCTCCAGTTCCATCCACGTTGCTACAAAGACCATAGTTCATTCTTTTTCATTGCCACATAGTATTCCATTGTATATATAAACTACAATTTCTTTATCCATTCATCAATTGAAGGACATTTAGGCTCTTTCCATAATTTGGCTATTGTTGAAAGTGCCACTATAAACATTGGGGTGCAAGTGCCCCTATGCATCAGCACCCCTGGATCCCTTGGGTAAATTCCTAGCAGTGCTATTGCTGGGTCATAGGGTAGATCTATTTTTAATTTTTTGAGGAAACTCCACACGGTTTTCTAGAGCGACTGCACCAGTTTGCATTCCCACCAAGAGTGCAAGAGGGTTCCCGTTTCTCCACATCCTCTCCAGCATGTATAGTCTCCTGATTTGTTCATTTTAGCAAGTTAGGTTTTTTTTTAGAAATTAGGGGCATATTTAAACCCTGGAAATGATATATAAATTATGGTGTGTGTATCAGATACATGTTTTCTGGGTTCAAACATTAGGTGCCTAGATCCCTGGTAGTTATTGTGGGTAGTCCTCTACTTTCAACAGCTGAGGCAACAGAAGAGGATGAGCAGAAACACTGTAAGCAGTTGGGTATACCAGTAACAGGTTAATTCTTTGCATAAGCATAAAGAAAGATACTTCATGTTAGGCAGTCAGTGGCAACCTAAGGGAAGTTGGGATCCGGCCTAGGGATCTGGGTCATGAGAAAACTATACGAAAGAACAGGAAACAAGTGACAGGACATGATCATGGTCATCAAATTGGTAAGGACTTGTAATGTAAAAGCAGGGGGGCAAACCACTGTGATTATTGAATATGTAATGATGTTAATAGCTAAAGAAAAGAAAACCTAAGTTAGAAATTACTATGACCTCCTTTTTGCTGCAACAGACACAAATATATTTTCAACAGAGTTGGTGACCTTGTAATTATAAGATGAAAGCAAATTAAGTAGCTGCTTGCCTTCTGAGGTCCAATTTTGATTCCCCATCCCTTTTCTTATTTTTAAATGATTCAGATAATCAAGTAGACCAATGATATTAGTAGGGAACTAATACTTATCGAATGCCTCTTATATGTTGGGAAACACACTGACACTTAAAAGATGTTTACTATTTAAAAAATTTTTTTTGTTTAAATTCTAGTTAGTTAACATATAGTCCAATATTGGTTTCAGGAGTAGAATTCAATGACTCATCATTCACATACAATACACAGTGCTCGTTATAACAAGTGCTCTCCTTAATACCCATCACCCATCTAGCCCATGCACTTACCCACCTGCCTCCATCAACCCTCAGTTTTTTCTCTATTGTTAGGAGTCTCTTATGGCTTGTTTCCCTCTCTCTCCACGTCCCCCCTCCTTTTTCCCCCTTTTTTTTACCCTTCCCATATGTTCATCTGTTTTGTTTCTTAAATTCCACATATGAGTTAAATCATATGGTATTTGTCTTTCCCTGACTTATTTCTCTTAGCATAATACACTCTAGCTCCATCCACATCATTGCAAAAGACAAGATTTAATTCTTAATTCTTTTTGATGGCTGAGTAATATTCCATCATATATATATATATATATATATGATATGTATATGTATATACACATAACATCTGTGTATGTTGATGTGCATGTATGATATGTGTATATATATATGTATATATATATATATATACACACATAACATCTTCTTTGTCCATTAATTAGTTGATAGACATTTGGGCTTTCTTCATAGTTTGACTATTGTTGATAATGCTGCTATAAACATTGGGGTGGATGTACCCCTTCAAATCAATGTTTCTGTATCCTTTGGGTAAATATCTAGTAGTGCAATTGCTAGATGGTAGGGTAGTTCTAGTTTTAGATTAAAAAAAATTTTTTTTAATGTTTATTTTTTGGAGAGAGAGGGAGAGACCAAGTGCAAGCAGGGGAGGGACAGAGGGAGAGGGAGACACAGAATCCAAAGCAGGTTCCAAGCTCTGAGCTGTCATCATACAACCAAACATGGAGCTGGAACTCACAAACCTTGAGATCATGAACTGACCCAAAGTTGGATGCTTAACCAACTGAGCCACCCAGGTGCTCCTATTTTTAGTTTTTGGAGGAACCTCCATACTGTTCTCCAGAGTGGCTGCACCAGTTTTCATTCCTACCCACAGTGCAAGAGTGTTCCCCTTTCTCCACATCCTCACCAATATCTGGTTTCCTGAGTTGTTTATTTTAGCCATTCTGACAGGTGTGAGGTGGTACCTCATCGTGGCTTTAATTTGTATTTCCCTGATGATAAGTGATGGCGAGCATCTTTTCATGTGTCTGGTAACCATTTGGATGTTTTCTTTGGGAAAGTGTCTATTCACGTCTTCTGATCATTTCTTAACTGGATATTTTGTTTTTGGGGTATTGAGTTTGCTAAGTTTTTTAAATAAATTTTTGATACTAACCCTTCATCAGGTATGTCATTTGAAAATATCTTCTCTTATTCTATGGGCTGCCTTTGTGAAACAGGAAACTATCAAAATCCTCAAGGAGAACACAGGCAGCAAATTCTTTGACCTCAGCCATAGCAACTTCTTACTAGACACGTTGCCAGAGGCAAGAGAAACAAAAGCAAAAATGAACAATTGGGACTTCATCAAAATAAAAAGCTTCTGCACAGTGAAGGAAATAGTCAACAAAAATGTTTACACTTTTAATTCTCATGAGGATGCTTTGAGGCAGGCATGATTATCCTTGTTTTATCAGAAGAGAAAACTGAAATCCAGTGAAGGAACATGACTTAATGAAGGACACATGACTAATTGTGGAATTGGAACTAGAAACCAAGTCTTTGGACATGGTTCATTGATTTACATTCTAATGGTGACATAAATTTAACTGCTTCTTGTCAACCAGAGATGGTTGATATTTTGAGCAATTTATAAAGCTATATAAGGTAAAATAAAAGATTGCTTATTTGAAATCTAAAAAAAAGGTGAAAGAAAGGAAGAAAGGTAAAATATTGAAATGCGTTGATTTGGCATCACAGAAAAACATGTGTGCCTCTCTGACTCTACAGTTCATGCTCTCATTCTCTTTCTGTCCCTTTCTAATTTATATTTCATCAATTTCTAGAAAATGATTGATGTAAATTCTTTGGCTGACTCCCAGGAAAGTATCAATGCAGTAAAATTATTTTCAGATTTCTAGCTAAATAGATTGCTTGCCTCCAGATTGTGAAGAACCAACAACATGGGCAAAAGAAAAAAAAAATCAATGTAGGTAGTACGTGCTTTTGTGCTTTATACAAATGGAATCATATTATATACATTTTCTATAGCTTTTGTGTCTGATATTATGTTCTTGGGATTTATCCATGTTCTGCGTCATCTGTAGTTCTTTAAGTTCTACTGCTGAATATGCAATTCCATTGTACATATATACCACAGGTTTTTTTTTATCCTTTGTATTGTTGACAGACATTTGGATTGTTTCCAGGTTTTTGCTGTAACAAATAAATTCTGGTGTGAACATTCTTTTACAAGTATCCTGGTGCACAAATGCAACTGCAGGGGATGTATATTCTTAGGAGTATAATTGCTGGGTCCTACAGTGAGTGTATCAGCTTACTGGATAATGTCATAGTGTTTTTCCAGAGTGAGTGTTGTGCCAGTTTACACTCTCAACAGCCGTGTAAGAGTTTCGACGGACTGCACGATTGATTGATTGATTGAGAGTTAATGCACAATGTTACATTAGTGTCAGGTATAAAACAATGTGATTGGACAAGCCTATAGGTTATGCTCTAGTCATGTAACAGTCTTATCGTTCCAAAATCACATCTTACCCTTGTTATTGTCACTTGACTCTTGCAAATCTCATAGGTCAGTGTAGTTTAAACTTGTATATCCTTGAAAATAATGAGATTAAACATGGTTTCTTATGTTTTTTGGTCATTCATGTTTCCACTTCTGTTACTTTCCAGGCTCTTTGCCCATTTTCAGTTGGGTTCTTTGACC